CAGCAGTTTTTGGAAATGAATTTATTTCCACACAATTCAAAGGCTGGAAAATATATCAATAGGTAGGTGAAAAAGAGTCCAATCATTGTGGCATAATCAAACATATTATTCTTTCCAATAAACCCAGCCATCTTGCTGTGCACCTTGTTCTGTTTTCTCATTGCAATGGATTGTTGTATTGTTGTTTGCCCTTTCTCAGACTTCAGAGGAAAGGTAAAGCTTGAGAGGCTTTATTAAGACCACACAATTTCAGCATGGTTGTACCTTTAGTACTCATCCAACAAAAAAGGCAAGAGTAGGATATTCTCCTACTTCCGAACTTGAAGCTTCTGCAAAAACTAACTCCATTAAGGTAGCAAGAATTATAACATGTAAATGCAGTCCAAGGTAATCAAGCAACATAAGACTTACAAGGCATATTTCATCAATCAGCAATAACCACAGCTAGTACACCACACAAACAACAGAAATCACTTAAAAAGAAACAAAATATGGATGGACTGTAATGAACCATACTGGCCTCCAACCGTTTTTTCAAGCTCAAGTCAAAGTATCTATTTTTATTTAAAAGACAGGAAGTTTAAATGATTGACATACAGAGAAATATCCTGTTTATCTGTACTCAATTACAATGCATTAAATCATTAAATCAGGGGTGTCAAACTCACATTGTTACAATGGTGTCACATGACATATTGGGACTTTTTCCCCCTTCGCTAAACTGGGCATGGGCGTGGCCAACATGTGACACATCCAATCCGCGATTGGGAGTTTGAAAGCCTTGCATTAGAGCAATCAAGGAGACATTCTAATGATTTTTTAGTTACTAACCAGGATTTGTGTCAGATTTTTAATTTTATTGTGATCTGATTACATTTTATTTTTTGAAACCTTGAGGGCATACATTTTCAAACTAAATACCACAGGAATTGCCAATTTGGCAGCTAGAAAAGGAATGTGCGGGAGTCAAACTGACTTCCAATTTAAAATTTTAAAATTGCCTTTAAACTTATTGGAAACAGGTTCAGGCTAAACTTGCATAAAAGAAACAATACTTTAGATGGTAAGGAAAACTTGCATATACATTGATTCTGAAACATGCAACCCTAAAAAAGAGCTGCTATTTGTACTCCAGAATTTTTTACATTTATCTTTGCTTTTCACATTCAAAAGTTTTACAACCAACTCTTTCCAAAGTTGAAGAATTTTTATATATCCACTGGGAACACAGCAAGTGGATTGCAGAAGTTGATGACATAATTATGTCAGGCACAAAGAATTCTGGGAATACAGCTGTACAAAATGCAACTGAAAACCTTTTTGACAATATTCATGTGAGTCGGTGGAAGAACTAATGACTCTATTAAAAATAGTAATGTCCTCTATATATAAACTTGCTTATGCAGGAAGATTTAAATAAGGAAACAAATTATGTTGGTGCATAGAGTGCTTGTTTTGTAACTATCAGCAAAATGGAAGAACTTGTCTTTCGGATTGTCAAAAAAATGTTTACAGTTCTAAATTTACTCAGAAACAAAGCAAAAAAAAATACAATGGCAAAAATGCATCTATAATCAGATAAATACTGATATATTAAAAAGTATCATTCAAAATCTCATTATGGACCCTATCAATACCAGAACCTATTTATTCTTCATTTTTAGGCATTTTTATGCGTTAATAAACTTTCAGTTCTGATTATCTATACTATAGCTCTGTAACAATATCACTAGAATATATGAAAGTAAAGATGAAAGTATAGAATAGCACTCTTGTTTTATATCTACAACTAAACATATTTCATGAAGAATTACATTCCTCTTGCTTTTACAAGGATTGCATATGAGAAAACAATATAAAAGCTTGTTTTCTGTTTTTTGTTAAAATTGTTACTAACATATTTCAAAACCTTTAAAAAGGAGTGAACAATTAATAACAATAATATTCCTAAATATGAATTAAATTCTACCAGACTTCTTATTTAGAACATAATTCCAAAGGAAAAGACTAAAAAAATGATAGTCAAGGGCCAACAAGTTAAGTCAACCTATCTGACATTATGGTGCCATGGGATTTCTTTCAGTAGGATACACAATTACATTTCAGCAAATGAAAGAGAAAATAATAGCAGTATTTGCTGATGCTACAAACCAGAAAATCCATATTAGCTGGGTAAGAAGCCAGCTTCATTGAGCAAATAGCATGGCATCTTATAAAGAAAAGCATCAAGCCCAGGAATGGTTAATATCTTAATGGCAACCTTTCACACACATCTGCCATGTCATTCAAGTAGCTACTGTACTTTTCATCAATGGAAATTATTACTATTACTATAAACTATTTCTGTTGTTCAACATAAAGCAAAATCTTTTATTTTTGCCTCCTGTTAAATACAATAATTGCTTTGCTTAACATTCTCTTCCAACAAAATAAAAATAACCACCACCCCTACCCCCTTTTTCATTGCCAAATATATAACTAGCTTAAAATAAATTCTTTCTATTAATCCATTGCTTAGCCTGTATATATTAAAAATGTCAACTGTTCTAAAAAAGTGAGCACTGGCTATTAAAGAAATCTGCCTCAAAATAGATGAAAACTACTAGTGGGGAGGGGGCTTTTATTCCATAATCATATTTATGATAACTAATATCAGGTACCCAGTGGGTTTCAAAACTAAAATATATGGAAACAGACATCCATACCTAAGGCAAAAAAACAAAAAAAGTCAGAATAAAAAAATATTTATTAAAAGAAATATATTTCATAAGTATTTAATTAAACCAGAGTGAATGTAATCCTTATGAATCAGTACTAATACAAGCTGATATGTAAATAACATTTGTAACATATTTTCCATGGTATTTTGATATTATATAATATAATAGACTGTATTTGCATTTGAATAGAAATTTAAATAGTATATTTTATATGAAAGGTATGTAGAGTTATGGTACTTGAATTGAAACCTCAAGCAATATAGCAATAGCAATAGCACTTAGACTTATATACCGCTTCATAGTGCTTTACAGCCCTCTCTAAGTGGTTTACAGAGTCAGCATATTGCCCCCAACAATCTGGGTCCTCATTTTACTCACCTCGGAAGGATGGGAGGCTGAGTCAACCTTGAGCCTGGTGGGATTTGAACTGCCAAATTATAGGCAGCTGGCTGCAGAAATAGCTTGTAGTACTTGCACTTTAACATAAATTGTAATGACAAGAAAAAACTATTCACCTACAAAAGGGTTAATTGCAAGAGGCAACCCATGTCATCTATGATCTAATGAAGAGCAAAATAATCAGAAGTTTGGTAGCACATTTTTCCAACTGATACACTTTTCTTTAAAAGCCCGAGGTTTTGTAGCTCACAAGATTAATTAAAATGAAACTGCAATTTACAATAGTAAATTGTACAGATTTCCAGCAAAATTACGGAAATTCAAATTCCAAGAACTAATCAAAAGTCAGGTTTCCCTCCTTTCAGGTGACTTTTCAAAAAGGGAGGGGACAGCTTCATCCCCCCCCCCCCTATTTTTTCCCCCTTTGTCTTCCATGCCCAGAAGAAATATTCCCTCTTTGCAAACAGGATTCATGGCATTATTATTTTTTTAACTTTTTCTCTCTTTCTCTTCAATTCTCAATTGCTTAATCTTCATCCATCTTATATTGTAACCGACTTGTATCTTTTTCTGAAATAATTAGTCTCCTTCTGACAGGGAATTTATCCCGGTCAATCTAGCTATCGAAAGGCAAGAAAGGGCAGGCAAGAAAGTTTCTAATCCTCTCCCAATTGATGGTGGCAGTGATAGATTTTCCTCTCTCCCCCACCGCTGAACTGTGAACAGGTGTAACAATCATGGAAAAACACTTAGAGTGCATTGACTAGTGCACCACATCTCAAGAGTTCACTCCATTATTCATATGTCTATTATTCATTTTATTATTATTTTGTAATGTTATATTACAGCAAGCACTGAAATGAATAAACAAGTGAGAGATGACGCTTCAAGTGCCAGTGGTAAAAGGAATTTATGGATGACCAATGCATTTTAGAAATATATTCTTTATTCAAGAGTACTATAAAAACAGAAACAAAAAACAAAGGAAAAAAACCACTAAAATGATTTACAAGACACATGTAACAATGTTTTAAAAATATACAAAATATTATGTATATTCTAACTAACTCAGCAAATGTTGAAAACTGGATAGCTTGAATGAATTTCTGTTTATTTTGAAGAATGTTGCTGTAGTAAGCCCAAAAACAATAATATAATATAGTGAAGATGATACTTCTAAAGCAAGGGTCTTCAAACTAGACAGCTTTAAGACTTGTGGTCTTCAACTCCCAGAATTCCTCCTCTAGTCATGTTAGCTCAGGAATTCTGAGAGTTGAAGTCCATGAGTCAGTCTTACCTGCCTAATTTGAAGACCTTGTCCTAAAGCATGTTGTATGTATTTGCTTCTAATGTAAATGAAAATAGAAGTGAAAGGACTGCTATATACAAAATAAAATGTTTACCTTTGAATACCTGTAAACCAGTCACCTGGCATATTGTGTAAAACTGAATCTAATGAGGATAAGAGCAGCTATGGTAATTTATAATGCTAGAAAAATATTGAGGACTATGACAGCAAAATTCTTAGGCATGTTTGAAGGTAAAAGCCTTATTTGTTTTTCTGAAAATATGTTTCACTGGAGTGGCTTTAATTATTTGTTTTCTTGTATTGCCTAATATTTTCAGTTATAATCTTAAGAGCTCTAGTAGTTTTGCTGCATAAATTTTAAGGCATGATATATACCACTTGAGTGTCAATGCTCACAGTGAAACTGCAAAGATTATCTACCTCTTTAAATAATTAATGAAAGAAGCTTCTATGAAGATTCTGGGTCATCCAGGTCATGGTTGTCCCAATGGTGCTTTTTCAAGAGGCAACTGTACTTTTTTGTTTTATTTTGAAGACATTTTGCATCTCATCCAAAAAGCTTGCTTCCCTACCATTCAGTAAGAGCTGAAGAAGCTTCTTGGATGAAGTGCAAAGCATCCTTAAAGAAAAACAAAATGTTTTTTATTGTTTTTGCCTCTTGAAAAAGCACCTTTGGGCCAATGAAATACGTTTTTTTTATGACTGCATTTGTAATAAGTGAGTGGCTGCAGGGAAAGAAGGGAATAATTCCATTATAAATATGTTATTAACATGAATCCCTTATATTTCTAATCCATGTTTTTGAGGATACTTTTCCTCTTGTAGGCAAAGCAAGGGATTGCCTGGAAGCAACTCCAGGTCACTCTTGATGTAAGAATTTTATGATGTGATCAAAAGTCAAAGTGCATATCAACTGATCATTCTATGTATTTTAGGAGCCATGTGGTGCAGTGGTTAGAATGCTGCATTGCAGACTAACTCTGCCCATAGCCAGGAGTTTGATTCTGACCAGCTCTAGAGTGACTCAGCCTTCCATCCTTCCAAAGTAGGTAAAATGAGGATCCAGATTATTGAGGACAATATGCTGTCTTTGTAATCCACTCAGAGAGTGCTATAAAGCACCATGGAGTGATATATAAGTCTAAGTGCTATTGCTATTCCTATTTTAAAGTGGCAAAAAGTGCTCCTCTAATTGTCTCAATCTCTTTTTCAAAATTTAGTTTCCATTGCTGAGCTGATTCTTTCTAAGAATGATTCCTAGTGTTCAAATGATGCTCCAAATGTTTTAGGATTGCACCCAAGACATCTATTACTATTGGAACTATATTTCTTTTGCCATCATCATACTACTTCTCTTGACAGGTTTTGCATTTTGTTATTTTCTCAAGATTTTTCTCTTTTTCTATTATGCTATCTTCAGGTTCTGCAACTTCCAGTAGCATGACTTTTTTGTCTTTCTTATCAACAATTATTTAGTCTGGGATGTTGTGTGACAGCTGCTTGTCTGTTTGAACTCTAAAGATATAGAGCACTTTAGCTTCTTCATTTTCTATCACTTTGTCTATTTTGTTTGTCCTACCAGTTCTTGCTTGCAAGCAGCTGGTGTTTCTTGCAGATATTCAATGCACCATTGTTGTTACTTTGTCACACCATTGTTTATAATCATCCTTCTTGCAGCAGATAACTAGGTGAGATACTGTTTTTCAGCTTCTTTGCAGAGATTACATTAGCTGTTGCTTCTTCTCAATTCTGGCTTTCTATGAATTTATTCTTAAGGTTTGGTCTTGTGCAGCCAGAATTACCCCCTGTATATCTTTCCTCAATTTTCCTGCTCTTAGCCATTGTCAGGCCTTCTTGTTTTCTGCTTGGCCTGCTATTTTTTTTTTAACGTAGTGGCTATGTAATACTTTGCCTTGCCATGTCTCTTTTCTGTCCTTCATTTGGTATTTCATGTAGATCAGTTTTCTTTGTCCGGTACTCACTAAGCCTTCATGGTATACTAGCTTCAGCGCATCTACTTCACTGTCCTTCAGATATTTTTCTAGTGCCTTTTCCCCTCTTCAATAGTTTGTGTACTTGCAACATTGCCTGCCCACCTATGTTCCTTGGTAAATAGAGTCTGTTAACATCACTGTGTTGGGCATGATATATTGTTATTATTTTTCTGGTCTTCCAACCCAGGGGTTGTAGTTCAGCTTGAGTTCAGTCCAGTATTCCAGCCGTATGTCTAATGATTGGTATTTCCCAGATTATAATAAGCTTTTATAATAATTATAATACATGCATTATATAAAATGCAATCTATTTAATTAATATATTATAAATAATAAATTATTTCTTAAACAAAAAACTAGGTTTTTAATGCAAAGAAATTCTTATGTATTCTGTTATAATTTAAAGTTTGCAATCTGCATGTTGAAAAGCTCGATTAGAATAGCTTTATTAATTATGTAAATATGTTGCATACTTAGGAAATATAGCACTTATTCTGAATATGCATTATTACTTTCCTGAATAACTCCATAATATAATTTTTTGAATTTACCTAATTAGAAGAGATAAAAACATATGAAGAATGGTTGCAGGAATTTGAAAAGAAGGAGTATGAGGGACATGATAGCAGTAGTCAGTATTTGAGGGGCTACTACAAAGAGGAGCAGGTCAACTTATTTTCCAAAGCACCAGAAGGCAAGACAAGAAGCAATGGATGGAAACTAATCCAGGAGACAAGCAACCTGAAATTAAGGCCTAACTTCCCTACAGTGAGGACAATTAACCAGTGGAACAGCTTGCAAGTTGTAGATCCTTCATCACTGGAGGTTTTTAAAAAAAGACTGGGACAGCTATCTATATGAAATAGTATAGGATCTCCTACTTGAGCAGGAGGTTGGACTCAAAGACCTCCAAGGTCCCTTCCAACTCTATTCTGATTGATTGAGAATTAAAAATAAAGCTCTGAAACTTGTACATTTACAATACATTTATAGTGTATTCTTATAAAGAAAATAATCAAAAACTACGTATTTGAGAGAAAAGTAAGCCATTACTCATTTTAAAACTTCTATTTCTTGGAACAACAGTAATAGAAGACTTAATTATTCATAATTATACATAATTATATCTGGAGAAAGAAAAGATGCCAAGTTATCCTAAATTATACCTATACCTGTAAATCAGGAGTATCAAACTCACGGCCCACAGGCTGGATGTATCACATGCTGGCCCCACCCCCACCTGGTTTAGCGAAAAGGGGAAAAAATCCTGATACATCATGTGACGACACCATGATGACGCGAATTTGACACCCCATAGATGCAAAATTAAAAGTGAAATTCCAAACCAAACAGAATTAATATTCAGTTAATCTGCAGTCCAGCATGTAAATGAGATCAAATGTGTTCAATTAACTTTCACTCCGTTAATTATCTAGTTTGCAGCCTGAAAGGCAGAATGAGAGAGAGTTCTTAAAGAAGCAAAACTTCACTCCTTAAGTTACCATGAATGGTTTTACAATGCAATAAAGTAATTAGACTAAATGGTTGTAGCTCTTTTGAAAGTAGAATGTTTTGATGTTTTTTATCCAAAGGCCAGCTATTTGTTCAATAGTGGCACTCTATGTAAAGCTTCTATATACCATTCAACTTTCAGATTACACCAGTTCAATCTTTCAATCCTTCTTCATCCAGTTAGCTCCCAAGTGTACCAATTCTATTAATAAACATCCAGACATACCATTACACAAACAAGAGTCTGCCAGTGGTTCTCTCAGCACTGAAGACAATAAAAGCGAGAACCCTAAAGAAACAAATTGCCCAGGCTGTCTACTCATAAAGAAACAATCCCTTGGAAAGTTTGAATTTAAGGAAACGTTTAGTGTTCAGTAATTCATCAACATAGATCTCCAATGAAGATATCAACAAAAATCTGAATTAAACCTAGGCCTTAAAAATAAATAACTGAATAGTTTTCAAAAATTATTTGTACGGATTACCTGTTAAAATAAACTGAACAAATAGTATAATAATGTGATGACTAAATGGATATTTTTGGTACATTTTGCTTCTCATTCACCATTATGATTGCACTCTAGATTAAAATAGCCATAAAAGATAAATAAGTGGGCTGATAATTCACACTTAATTGATTAATGCACTATTCTTCATTTTACTGCTTTGGTATTTCTTTTTTCCATGGTCCAACATGTTTGCTAACATTCTGACTTAGGAATGCTTCTCTATCTTTTAAAGTAGAGGCATCTTAATGAGCTTTCTATTAACTGACAGGCATGAAAGAAAGGGAGGGAACCTGATTACGTACCTAAGCAACAGTAGGCAGCAACTTAAAGCAAATGCATTCCTCAAAGATTAAAAGCAGGAACAGTGACAGAAATGTACAGATAAATCAAGTACACATACTTACAGTCGCTGATAGCTGGGGTCCATTAAGTTGTGCCTGTAAAATAGCCTCATTGATCGAGTACCGAATACCCAGCAGTGCCAGTTCTAGATCATGAGTTACAGCCATTTCATTGGTGAGGTATTCCAGAGTATAGATATATTCCCTCCAATGAATGTCCAGCTCAGATACGCTGGCAAAACAACCTCTCATCACATTCAAACAATATCCTTCACAGGGTCTGATGAGGGTCAGACCTTGGCAATGAGGACAATATTGCATTTTCACAAGGCCTCGGATACATTCTTTGGTCAAAGCAGCATGCTCAGTGGCGTTCAGCACTTCAACACCCATTCCCAGGGCCTGACTGAATATTCTGCTTGCCCTCAGAGACTTTGCTAGCTCCGTAACAGCTTCTTTGGAATAGCGTCCAAATGGATTGATGTCTTGTCGTGTTTGTCGCAGGCATTCCATGTATTCTTCTGACAAGTCCATCATGCCAGGGTTTATCAAGCGGGTATAAACCAAAGGGAAGAGGCTGTCGAAGAACCGGAAAAATGCTTTTTCCACTCTGTTTTGAGCACCCAAGAGGTAGAGAGAGAGGTCTGTAAAAAGTTCTTTCACAGGCTCAGCTGCCTCCTTTGACATGGATCTGTAGACAGTCTCAAAGAGAGAAGCGGTGTGATTCTCAGCAAAACGAAGCAGGGATTCAAAGGCTGCTGCAGAAATACATTAAAAGTGAAGGGAAAGTCAGTGTTTCCTTAATACAGCTCAAAAGCTTGGATCTAAATAGTAGACCAGTACTAATTATTATTCATTTGCTTTACAAGATAGGTAGGCATTTTATTTCTGTTTCACAAAATGATACAGTTGAAATGTGGAAGAGGAATCTCACTGCTTTTATTGGTTTTCAGTGCTGCTTTGTTTGATGCTGACATAGAATCTCTAAATGCTGGAATACCTGAATACCTGCCCCAATTGCGCACCTACAATATTTCAATTCCCACAGTCTACCAGTCCTGAGTTTGCTAAGGAGGTGAAGTTATACTGTACATATACAGGATCTTCAATTGGAGAAGCTGGACTTATATAGAGACTTCTCTAAAGCTAAATCCATGGTGAAGCACAGACCATAGTTCACTGACCATTTTTGTTTTCTGTGCAAAATTCCCAGGTTTAGTAACTGACATCTCCAATTAGGACCAGATATCTGAAATCTTAAAGAAATGTGGTCCAAGGCAATGTACAAGCCTGAATGTTTAAAAGATTTCTTCTGTGAATCAGCTTCTTTTGTGAAATATTTTAAGAGCAATTGAGAGGAGAAGGAAGACTTAACTGTCTCTCATCTGACAGCCCCTGGTAGATATATAAGCAGGGGTGGGATGCTACTGCTTCTGCCTGGTTCTATAGAGCCAGCAGCTCTGAAGAGCAGCAGACACCGAACTGGTTCTGTGTTTGCTGCTGTTTGGCCCACCCATCTGCCCGAGCTCTTACCTGTCCTTTATTTCCTGATTTTTCAACCTCAGCTTCTTTGTGCGGCACAGCTGAGGTTGAATAAGCAGAGAAAAAGAGGCTTTCCAAATGCTGCATACCTGCGCACAGCACTTTTCAGCTGTCCAGGTGGCACAGCTTAAGGTTGTTTTACACGTGCGTGCAGCATGCAAAACATAGTCACCAAACCAGTAGTAACACCGGTTGAATGCCACCCCTGTATATAAGATACATCTGGATTGAAAAGTACCTGCTGAAATAATCCTCAGTTAAGACTATGCAATCACTCACATATTTTATAAATAAATTATATTGAAGGACTAAATAAAATAATAGAATGTAAAACTTATAATAAAGTAACTAAAGTTTCTTTACTAAAAGGTTGTTAAAAGAACTCATGAACAATTCTTTTTCTCTGTAAATGCACTCACATTTTTGATACAGAAGATGGAATTTCTTGACTCTTTCTGATTTATAAACATATGTAGCTTGGTAAACACATGTAGCTTTTTATTATAAATGCATGTAGCTTTTTATTTCCACCACGTTGCTTCATTTCCTTTATCTTATTTAACATTGCTTGATATAGTTGTAATCTTAAAACCAGTGAAATGTTTAGAAAACCTGAGGAATCCATAAATGTTGGAAGACAACGTTATGCTTTACTCAACTTTCTCCACAACCTTAAGGTATAATATGGTTTTAGGTTCAGTGGAAAATCTGTGCAATTTACAATTCAAATATGATTCAATGTTTGTTTTCAACCTTTCAACTACTTAAGTATTAAGTAGTTTAGGATCTGGCTAAGGGAGTAGCCATCATATTAATATGAACTTGTGTGGTTGCTAAGGTCAACACCAAAAGTCGTCTTAAAGATATATATTGGAAGTCCATTCATTAGATACATGGGATAAAGAATTTTCTGCATTTCTAATAAGCCATGGAACACTGTTTTGATACCTGCATTAACCTCCATTCCTTTTGCCTTTAAGAAAGAGATTGTCTTTCCCAATAATACCTTTGAAGTTCTTTAAGGATGATTTTAGGTATGATTGTTAGGAAGGCAGGCAGACAGACATTAACTTTTATATATTTTACACTATTTACCTATGAATTGCAGGTGCTCAATTAACAAGTGTATGAAATCTAAATAAACAAGCATTGTTGTGTGTTGCCTTTTTCTTTTATGTCAAGCATCTTGAAGTGGCCTAAAAGATTTAAAGTAGATGGAGATTATTAATCTGATAAAAAGAACAATAAACCCAGTGTTCTTTTCCAATATTACAGCCTTACTTCCTTTCCAGACATGAAGCTGACTTGTAGCAATTCTGTTTTAACCAAGCCATTTTTTTTTCAATTCAGGATTCAACAGATATTTTAATTAATTCAGCAAAATGTTTTTACAGCCTAGGACTTCACATTTGGCCTAATCTATTTTAGCAGTTAAGGAAAAAGCTTAGTCAAGGGACAGATAAATAACTAGAATAAAACTCCCTTTTTACGACCCTATAATTCCTTAATTTGGGGTAGAGTCAGAGTGACTGGATGGAGCTGAGCGTTTACTGGCCAGATGTCCTTCCTAATGACATGGGGAGTTCACAGTAGATATTTTTTCTTTTCGCCCTAAGAGAGAACATTTGCTGCTACCTAGGATTGAATTCTCAACTTTCTGAGTGGGAGGTGAGTATATTCACCATTAGGCCACCACGCCATTCAAACAAATAAATGGAATAAAATATAGCTGTATAGCTTATAACTATATAATAGTTTCTGAATACCCTGTTTCTCCAACAATATGGCCTCCCCCAATAGGAAGTCCTAGCATGTTTTATAGGCATGAAATGAAATTAAGCCCCTCCCCCCAAATTAAGGCCTATATTAAAACATGCGAAATGGGGGGAATGGTGGGGGGGCTTGCCGTTAGGAAGTACTTTTGTTGCACACCCGGATATGCTGCTGCCTGCGTTGACCCCGATACTAAGTGCCTCACCAATGCCGAGGTCAACATCCAAGCTGTCGCTGCACGCCCACCCAAAGATGCAAGGGGGGGGAATTAAGTCACCCCCGAAAAGACAGCCTAGCCATTTTTTCGGGGCTCAAAAAAAAATAAGACCCGGCCTTATTATATGAGAAACACGGTAGTTTCTGAAGTTGTGTGTGTTACATGTTCAATTTTGAAGCTGACAATTCTATGTGATCAAGTTATCACAGGATAGCCACTGATTAAATGATTGGAAGCAGACTTGATACGTTATAATATTTCAAAACAGTATTATTAGCTCTTCAGAAACAGGATAAGATTATAATAACTTACAAATTGAATGTTTTTGTAATTCTATGACCCTTGAAAAGAAAAGAAAAATCCAATTTCACTCCTACACAGTTTGCCAAGTAATATATTGAGGCAGCTTTTACAACTCAGCTGTAAAATTGTAAAAACTGCGGTTTATAATGAAAAGACTGACAATGCGAAAGCTGCAGTATTGTAAACAAAGCTACTGTACTACAAGTGGAACAAAGTTTTCTAAAACATCTCGGTTTAATATTTGTTGGTTTATGCAACTTCTGATCTTATTCAAAGTATTATTGAAAGTACAGTTTTCGTATATGTTTCAGAATTCTAGATCAATGATTTGTCAAGACAAAGTCCATTCTTGCTGGAAGTAGAGGATACTGATTTTGGTTGCTCTAAGTGGAAAATTGTAAATGAAAAGTTGTTAATTTTCAGATCTACTGTATATGGTTTGTTCCCTGAACATTCATTTAGGTACATTTTACCCAATTTGTATAAGACAAGTCTTTAACTGCTTAGTTCATGAGTTATTAATTAACACAGTTGGCCAGATTATATAGAAGTCATATTGTCAGCTTTGGAATCCTTATTCATCGCTGTCACATAGCTTGAGAAAGTGGGAGGGGGTGATTTTAATTGAGTAGCTCTTAGTAGACAAAATAGAATTCTTTTGTTAGTCCAAGGTCAAAGAGTGTGGCGCAGGAAAAAAGGAACGTACTTTGGGATTGGTTCATGTGATGTGATGATGACACAAAAGGGGATGGGTTGTAGTTTGGGACATTGTGGGAAGTCCGGGAAACTTAGTTTCGAAATTCCACAGATGTGCCAGGTGTTATTCTAATAAAGGTACTTTTGAGATTATGCTTGTCTCGGAGTTACTGTTTGGAATGGAGGTTCCCTGGAACACATATTATCAAACTAAATTTATGCAGTAACTCAGCGTAACATATGACAAATTAATCCTACCAGAGCTGAAGAAGCTTCTTGGGTGAAAAGCAAAATGTCTTCAAAGAAAAACCAGAAAGTCAGCTGCCTCTTGAAAAAGCACTTTTGGGACAACCATGACCTGGATGACTGAGAATCTCCATAGATATAATCCTATCAGCAAACGTCCATAAATAATTCCACTCTCCAGAAAACACATGGCACCCCTAACTCAGGAATCAAAAGTACATTATTTTCCATTCCCAAAGGGTCTCTGGAAGAGCAAGGCTTATATCACCTCTGAGACACAAGTAGGGATAGAGATTTCTTTATAGAGTCACTCTAATGATGGAGATGGGAGGTCTCTAAATATGGTATATAAATAAAGAAATAAATAAAAAGACACAGAATTAGGAGGTGAGGGAAACCTACAGTATTTCATCATCATTATTACTGGTTGTGTAGATTCCATACAATCCATGTTGTAAGTCACCTGGAAGCCTAGTAGCAACCAATGCAGCTCTTGCAGTAGTAGTATCATGTGTGCAGAACAAGCTTAGTCCATCACTACGTTGGCTGCTGCTGAAGATAAAATTAAGCAAGGAAACAGCTTGATATAACAAACTGGCTTCAGGTATGCTTAATGCTTAGCAATAAGTTACAAACAGCTAGTCTGGCCATGAAAATACAAATTCAAGAACTAGTTACTGGAAAGAGGAAGTCAACCCTTGAATCTTACTCAAGGCTTGCTGATTAAACAGAATAAATGCTAAAATCCCGGGTTGCTCTAAGAGTCAGTCCTGTTCTATCTTTTTCATCTAAATAAGATCACTATATAAGCATTTGCCTATCCCTGTCTTAGTGTCTTAGAATCTTGTATTTTGTTCAGTTCAATAAAATTGATTCAAGCTGATGATCTGGTCTCCAATTGTCATTTAAGTCAGGGTGTTTCCCTCCTTCATTCCAGGTTAGATCAGCTGAAGTTTCTAAACAGTCTTCATTCAGAGTGAG